ATTGCATCTCTAGGAGACATTCTTAGTCGCGTAGGCACGCTTTTAACGTCGTCTCAGCCACGGAATGAAAAGAAAAACTCGATTTAAATAAAAATTGAAAGTTGAAAGAATTTCATCCGGGAAACTTTAGGTTCGAAACTGAATTATTAATATTTCTCTGGAGAAATTGTTTCCGATGACTGGCGTTCGACTATTCGCGGGTTGCATAATGTTAGGCGTTGTTACGTGTACGAGCGCAACGTTTGCATGAAATTTTGTTCAAGGCAAGCGCTGTATGATATTCGTTGGCACGTCACCGATTTATTTTCACTTTTCGCGTATTTGTCCGGGAGATTCTCGGTCGGGGCGCATGCGGAGGCGGTTTAAGGAATTTCAGAATTCTGTTCTCGGTCGATGTACGTCGACCTTCGGCATCGTGCCAGCTCGAAATCCTCCGGGAATTCGATATGGATGAATGAAAGCCGTTCCCGGTGATTGAATTTTTCGTTATGTCGGCGAATGCCACTGAAATGTTCTCCGGTTACAGGAAAAATACCAGATTTAGTTGCTCGAGTAATAGTTCGTTTCAAGAAGGCACACATTTTCCACTTAGACTTCTATAAAATGCTAGTACTAATTATTTTTGGTTGTGGAGGTCAATTATAATAATTTTGGTGAATACACATACCCCCGAAATCCTACCCACTTTCGAGAAAAAAATTTTGGTAGGTGCTGAAAAAAAATTTTTCAAATTCTAAAAAAAATTATTTTCGGTTGCAGGGGTCAATTACAATCACTTTTGGTCATTAGGCATACCCCCGAAATCCTACGCAGTTCCGAGAAAAAAAATTCAATAGTTGGACCAATTTTTCGGCAAAATTGAAAAATTTCAAATCATTCTAAAAAAATTATTTTTGATTTCCGGGGTCAATTACAATCATTTTTGGTCAATAGACATACCCTCGAAATCCTACGCAGTTCCGAGAAAAAAATTCAATAGTTGGACAAATTTTTCAAATTGTTCTAAAAAAATTATTTTCGGTTGCAGGGGTCAATTGCAATCATTTTTGGTGAATAGACATACCCCCGAAATCCTACGCAGTTTCGAGAAAAAAAATTCAATAGTTGGACCAATTTTTCGGCAAAATTGAAAAATTTCAAATCATTCTAAAAAAATTATTTTTGGTTTCCGGGGTCAATTACAATCATTTTTGGTGAATAGACATACCTCCGAAATCCTTCGCACTTTCGAGAAAAAAAATTCGAGGTGTGAAATTTTTCGACAAAATTAAAAAATTCGTAATTTTCTTATTATGTTAAAGCGTAACCGTGTTATAGTATGCCGTGTTGTAGGAGGGCTACCTGTATAAAGTTTTATATCAAAGTTATTTACGCTTCGATTTACCCTATCGTTTCGATGGACGATTGAAAAACAGCCGAGAAATAGAGTTTCGGGCAGCCTAATAAATTTAACGGAAGTACGTGCAACGGAATCAAAATGATTTCCCATGAGCGAACGCCTATACGGATCGATTTATTTTCCGACAAATTTAACGCGCTATTTCCGGCGAATATCCGGTTTTTGACTGCACGACGATATCGAGAAAGGAAACCGATGTACGCCCCGGAGGTTTCAACCCGAGGAATTCATATTGAAATTCCAGCCGTCTACGAAATTGGCGGCCGGCTCATCGCTCCGGTCGGAAACGACCGTCGTAAATAAAATCGGCCACGAAAAACGACAGTGCGTGCTCTCTGTATAAATTAAACTCGAGCATCGGGAATGATTCACTGGGAACAGAGTATCGAAACCGAAATAGTGACCCCTTGGTCCATATTTCTTCCGCCATAATCTAGTCGTGTTCTCAAAACAAATAAAGTAACGTTTATTGACTGTGTTTGATACAATTTGTCAGCTAGTTAACCTCAGATTTACGGTACTCTTCGATTTGACGAATTTCAAATTGAATTTTCAGTAGTATTCAATTATATAATATTCCTAGTATTTTGAATTCGTATTTTACAAATATTATTTGTATTATTTGAAATTGTGATGAATATCATGTAAGTGAGATACTCGATCCACAGAAAAGGAATCGCTAACACTACAATAGTAGTGGTACGACAATGGCAGAGTTGGTAGGCGGCTGAGCTACCAATCCGAAGGACCCGAGTTCGAATCTCCGTGTACCCGTTCTGCTTTTTCTTCGATTTATACAATATGATATAGTTTGTGATTGTCAAATTTTAAAGATGTCCGGCTGCTGACTTCCTCCTTCTCGTGTATGATTTGTGCACTTCGGGAAAGGCTTCTCCTTCTGGACACTGGTGGTTTTATACATGCGGGAGACGGTATAGAGTGTATTGGAAACATATTATAGAGTAGAGTATGATGTATAACGCTTTACGGGTCGACCAGAATATATGCGCGGTTTTATTAGGAATCCTCAGTACGGGTTCTCCGAGATCCAGCGTCGACGTTGCTCGCGTACGGAGAAGTAAATAGAATCAGACAAGGTTTAGGTAATGATATTAAAGCTTTTAACAGGATTAGGCGGTACGGCGATCAAACAAACCCCGGAGACTTATTGCTGGATGAGAAACAAATCGACAGCTCGATGTACACGCGATTATTAATAACGTCGTTCCCGGAAGTTCTATGGTAAGATGGCACCCATATTCGCAAAAATTGATGGTGTTATACTCCTCCTATTTGTCGATAAATTTGTAAAAAAACGCGAAAGTGTTTGAGGAAAAAATCAGAAGGGGAAAAAAAGCAAAGAATAAAAAATGTTTAAATATCGCTTAGAAGTTTAACAGCTGACAAATACGTTCTCATTTTTTTTTGCGCGGTAAATTCACCTCTGATATTCACGGATTATAAAACACACCGCGGCGCACAATATAAATTTTCGATCGGTTCTTCCTTTTGTTCGTACGACACGAGGACGAAGAAGAAATAAAATTCACTAGCGACACGGCCGTGTAATTGGCGGTTCGACCACAAATTGCCAACGGTTATACCCCGTTCTTGTTTTGTCCCTCGTCGATTTTCTATTCCGGACCGTTCGGATCCGAGCGCGTTCCACGGTCCCGTGGTTTTCACGGAGTTCCATTTTATCCGCGGGGAAAACGATTTCATCCCGAGCCTCCTGTTCTTCCATTATCCAATAAATTCCCCTCGACGCACGCGTTCGCATTGTCGTCCTATTTTACCCACAATAGTCGCTCGTTGTTAGAAATTGACCAACGTCGATGCTTGGATTAATTTCGAAATTGTTCGAGCTCCTCGTCCGTTCCGTTTGTTCTTCGAAGCCGATGCATCGAAAGGTTAAACGCTCTCGAATTACCGTAACCTGTTACCGGCGATCGAATCGGGGGCTTAATTTTGTTTAAACGCGTTAGACTTCGCTACGAGCGTAAGCTCGTTATTACCAGTCCGTTGAAACGACGGTCTTCGCCTTTAAAGCGAAGTTATTGTACGAGCCAATGAGACGCGAGCTGGTACGGGACGAAATCGTCCGAGAATCACGTAAGACGAGAGCCGGGGCGGTGCTCATCGCTGTATTTAGTAATCGCTTGAACGTTCGTGCGTTCTAATGTTGATGCGTGGGCGGTTGGGTATCGCGAAACAGGCGTCTGCGAGTCGTCGCCGCGTAATTGCACCGCGAGGTTACGGCACGAGCGTCGTGGATCCACCTACTGACCTACACACGTGTACCAAAAGACGTTAACACGTTTCGTTTGCACGTGTGTGCCTCGGGTTTATTTGCGTTTCATTGTAATCCGAGTTCATTCTCCTTTTACTCTCTCTTTCTCTCGTCCCCTCGATCTCTCGCGTGCCAATGAATGGACCCGCGTTATACCGTCGGGACCTGTCCCTCCCGGCGAAAATAATTGCCCCAAAATCGGAACGACGATGCTTCCGCGCGTGGGTATCGGTACTGAAGGAGTTAAGTTCGTGCAAATGTCGAGTCGGGAACGGTCGAAACGCCATCGGGCGACGAACACGGTCAGCAACATTGCAGAGGGAGCGTTACACGTTCGTCGACCATATGGCGACGTATGTGTGTCGCCGAAAGTCAGCCTCGCGGCGGAGCAACTCGCTCCTCGACCGGTCATTTATAGCCGGCAGTCGTTCTATTTTAATCGAATATATTGCGCTTGGACTCGGTCCCGAGTGTGACGGCCCTTAAAAGTGTCAAGCTGCCCGCGATAAGATTAGGCGTGTTTACGAGCGCAATCTTGAACCTTGCACTCGCCCCGGCACTTCTTATTATACTTTCCTCTGCTGCAACCGCTTGGATAATAGTCGCCGCCCCCGCGGGCGCAGCTTCACGCCTCTCGGCGTCGCTTTTGCCATTTGCTCCTCGCGCGTCCATTACGACTCGGGTTCGCGACCTCTCCGCGAGCCTAATCGTAACTGAAACACGACGTACCCGCGTTTCATCACCCTCCGTTCTCGTGCTGCTCTCGAGAAAGAAAGAGTGAAAGTTTGTTTATCGTATGCGCTGGATAGGAGACCCTCGACGCGTTCACTGTCCGGTCTCTCAGCGGCGTATCCAATAGCGTGGCGGTATGACCCATATACGGTCCATAGACAGCGAACGTGTTAACATTATTTTTTTGTTGTCGAAATTCTTGGCGCTCCACTTATCTTTTTGGACTCGCGAACACACCAAGGACAGAGCCAGTCGGGTCTTTCTATATTCGAACTGAAAATTACTCGAGGGTGTCGAACATGGTATCGACCTTGAGCCAGAGACACGAACGCAACTCGACTCCTTGAACTTGCGCGTCCAACAATCGTTTCGATCACGTGTGTTAACTAAGAACCGTCGGATGTTATCATTTTTTCTTCTTAGGCTGGGCGTTCCGCGCGCGTCGATGACATCAATCTTCGCGAGACCAGTCTGTGATGACCGAGTCTGTCTAGACAATTTTGTCGCGTGTTTGTTTTAGTCGAGTCCCTTTTCTATGCGATCGTATATCGATCTAACTTTATTCAACGTTTGTTCCAGGTTCTGCGTCCGTTGAACAGAGAAATGGAAATGGCAACGCCAAGAATAACAAGACCAACAACAACGGGGTCGAGGTGAACAGAAACGAGGAACAAAATGGCACGGGCGACGCTAAGGGTCAGGCCAAAAAGAAGCCGAGCGCACCTGGAGGCGGACCTCTGTTGCAACAGGCGTAAGTTTCATCCGATAGAATTTATTTTTAGAACAATTTCACGAATTCCCTGTATCTGAAACCTATTTTACAATTCTGTAATCTTCGATTGCCGATCAACCCTCGAATAAGCAACGGATTCACTAGAATTAGAAACCTAAACTTTGTTGCTTCTGTTCTCTTCTAATTATAATATCTTTCGGTCGTCGGTTTCAATCCGCGTTGCATAATACGTTATTCGCATCCACCATGCCGCCACTCTGCGAATAGACCTGCCAAATAAATAATAGTGCCACTTTAAAATAACTCCTTGAAAACAATGTGCTTTGAATTTCTCCATTGAACAATTTTTCTTTTTCCTTTTTACGACGAAGGCCAGCGGCCTCGTATTTTAGCCTATAAACTGATCGTTGTTCGTTTTTTCGATTTTTCCAGAGAGATATCCACCAGTCAGCTCGACTTCTTCAAGATGCTCGACGAGAAGATCGAGAATGTAAGTTGCTTCTACCAAAACGCCAAACTCCCGGTAAACGTTTAAAAAACCGAACAAAAAGAGAGGTTAGGTTGCCTGTTGCTAGGGGCGCTTCGATAAGAAGCATAAATAAATAGAATTTATCTCGAATTTAAGAATATTCATTTTATTCGTCGTTGTTATACAGAATTCAATGCTTTCGCTTTAGGAACAAAATGGCTCCTCTCGTTGCAATTTGTCCTTGCGCCAGACGCGTTATCGTTTTCCAACGCGATCCGTCACGTGACGAAGCTTTTATCCCGGTTATGGAACGATCGGGATCAGCCTCGAATTACGCGGCATGTGTTCTGTCGCATCGACAAAATGCGTTGGAATCAAGCCATGTAAAATAGACGTCCCCCTTAAGGCTTCTGCAACCTTGCGGTAGCCTCGCCGCAATAACAATATTAATCCGTGCGTCGGTTGATCGATCGACCGACAGTTAGTTTTATCGACTGTGGGTCGGTGAATTCGTCGCCGGTGGGCATTATCGACCGACGCGTCGTCCAGCGGCCTTGCATCGGTCTCGGTGTCGCCTCGGTCATTTCTCGTGTTCTACAGTAAGAAAATTATTGTTGCAGGGCCCAGACTACGACGAGAGCCTCGACACGACGACCAGAGCGGAACGAGAGTCCAGCTTCCTTCGTCAATGGGAACTGGCCAGCGTCTCCGAGTTGAACAACGCGTCCCCAACCTCGGCAAGGAACCGTATCTCCATCTCGAACACGCCGCGTCAGAGTTTAAGCGCGAAGGACAGAGAAGGGATGAGAAACATAGTAGGTGGTAGGCCGGAGAGCGCCCCTATTTACATGAGGAACGCTAATCGCGTGGACGGTCTCCAGGAGACCCACCACTGCCCGTCGCCCAACATGCCCAGACACGTGTTGGAGTCGATCACCCAGAGTCCCACGCAGAGCTTGAAGAACGTGACGCCGCTGGGCTCGTCGCCGACCAGCCTGCGTTATCAGGACAGTTACAAAGAGTGCAACGCAAATCAGCCGTCCTCGAAGACCGTGAAGGTGCACTACGCCGGTCAGAATCCGATGAACGGCGAGTGCGTGACGCAGCAGGCCCTCTACCGGGAACAGTATTTGCAGCAGACCGGCATCATCGCCGTGTCGTCGCAGTACTCGGCCGGCTCCCCGGGCGGCAACGTTCTCCGGAACAGCCCGTACGTGCAGCAGTACCAGGTCGCCAATCCGCAGCACTTCGCCGCGTCGAGGAAACGGGGATTCAACACGGCGCAAATGACGTGACCGGTATGGCCGTACACCACCACCAGATAAGACTGAAAAGACACCTCCGCGAGTCGGGAAGAGAAAAAGAGACGAATGGCGAACGAGCTGAACTCGGCGAGGATCGTTTGATCCTTCCTCTCGTCGATCTCAAGAGAAACGTAAAGGAGAGAGAGAGCCCCTCGAGGCGGCTGGAGACTGACCAACAGACGGAGAAAGATATCGAATGTTTCTCTGTATGTTCCTAAAGATTCCGTACATTTTCGTTGCGATCGCGGCTGTCAGTTGAACCCGAGAAACGAAACACACACACACATACATACACGGTACACGATACACGCGCTCGTTTTGGTGATGGCCTAAAGATTCATCGATCTTTGAGAAAGAAGAAACAACACACAACGGTTGTCGATCCCTCTACGCAAATTCTTCTAAAAGTCTACCAGAATTCTTCGCTATAAGTGCCAAAATGCTACGTAAGCAATCTTAAGTGTCACGATAAAAGGGAGACATTGTCCGTTGAACCAATACTCCGTTCTTTGTAATTCGTGTAAATGAAACTTTTTCGATGTGTATATCATATACATGTATATATACATATACATATATATATTTTTGTTCATTCTTGTAACTCGGTTCTCTTTTTCTAATCGGATAGCGTCCTTGCGTACCGCGCTATTGGTAAATGTATATTTCTATAAGGGAAGAAAAAATGTAAGCAAAACACAAAAAAAAAAAAGAAAAAAATGAACACACCATGGAACCGCGCGCGAACACGGATTTCGCCGTAGCGTTTTGTATAATTATATCTCGCATATACGTGTGTATGCATTTACGTATGCATCGAAAGCATGAAAAAAAAAAGAAACGATAACAAAGGAAAAACGAACAGAGAACAAAACACAATCCGATATGTAGGAATCTTTTACTTATACCGTGTATAGATTTGCTGTATATGTACTGTATGGATTATACACTTAACTTAACGTGATGACTGTATATTTATATGTTGACCATGTTCAAAAAGTTAACGATATATAATAGTTGATGATGATGAGAGTTTTATATTTCATGTTACGAGTACGCTCTATATTGTGGAATACACTTTAATCGAATTCGCTGCATCACGCTGTCGAACTGTGACTATTGGTATATTTCGTTCCATTGAACAACTCTTCTTTTTTTTTTTTGTACAAATAAATTCGTAATTTCTCCCCAATGAAAAATACTTATATTTGCGTAACCCAAAACGTTTTAACGCGATACGTGTATCGTGTAACGCTACTTATTGTTTTACAGATAACTTCCATTAGAGGGGACACGGACTTCATGCTTTTAATGTTACCCGTTACGCAACAGCGTTCAGAACCATTAAAAAGATAGCGAAAACGGATAATGCTTGACGATTGATTTACGAGTTCCTTTTTAACGTCTCTGAAAACGATTAGCAGGCAGTTCGCGTCTAACAAGATTCGGTTGTCCCGAAACCCCTACAGAACGAATCTAATTGCATTTAATAGTACGAACATACGCGCGTTATCCTAAAATATTGTGATTCAAGGTAAGTCGCGTTTTAATTGAAGTATCTGCTTGCATTTTTATTATACATAATGAATTACCATCTTAATCCGAGCATTTGCACTAACTTAACAGTTTCGTAACTTCGTACCGTCATGTCTATCGTAGTTTAACATTTGTACGCGTAGAATTACAATGAAATTGCGGTGCCATCTAGGGACAGTACTTTTCAAAGACTGATCAATAGTTCCATTCGGAAGCACCGTGCAAAATACATTGCAAATGACACGCGTGAAGTTAAAGGATCGGGAAACACGAGCAAAGATTATTCGTCGGTAGTAATCCCCGTTAAGACGTTTGTCGAAACTCGGATCGGTTGTGTCAAGTAGACGGATTATTGCTAACGACGCAGGCGAATATAGTTCGAATTACATTCCTGAGATTTTTTTGTTCGTCTTCGAGTTGCGGGCCACGGCTGTCAAACGGGAACAGAAAACTTTATGTAATCGTGTACGAGTTAGGTTAGTGCACCGGATTATTGTTTGTATGTAAACAATATCGAAAGTGACGTGTGTTCTGGCGTACGAGAGTTTCGGTCTATTATATTTCTGGGCGTGGTACGTATTCTATCCTAGCATTGATGTCTCGTGCAAAGGTTCCCTGTAAACAATCGAACTTCCCATTAGACCGATAGAACGAGACACGATGTGGCCTTTGTGATCGAGACCTCGTTTATGTCCAATTAAAAACGATAAAACACAAATAGAAGGACTCGCCCAAAGAGCCTCAGAGCTCGTTATTCCGGTGTACGTCACCCTGTAATTAAAACATGTAACTTAGTTTTGCTGGATCATAAATATATATTTTGTCCAAGTGCCTAACAAATCCCAGTTTATTTCCCTTTCGTGTGTTTCTTCAAAGCTTTGATCAGAGTCCAACATATACGGCATAACAGTACGAAGCATCATTTACGAATTTTGTTGATGACGTTATTGCGATTTATTTCTTACTTAACATTTAGCTTTTATTTACTCTTCGATGCTCTTACGCTTACGTGCTAAACATTAGTTTTGAGGTTAAGTGATCTATACGAAAATGTATATATTTTAAAGACGTTAAATGTAAGAATTTAGTGACTGTCCTTTATTAATTTTTTACTGATACATAATACTCTTTTCTTTCCAGTTGGAGGAATTAGAATATCAAGCAGCTATATTGTTCCGTTAAATGTGAAATATCAAGGATCCCATCGAGACTACAATCATGGAGAAGAGAGGCAGTGCTGAGCTTCTGAGCACTGAGCAAAACAACTCCAAGAATGCCAGTTCAGACTCTATTAATTCGGATAGCAAGAGCAGTTCGCTGAATTCCAAAATAGGTCAAGAAACGGTAACTTAAACCAACTGGATAATTTTTAAAATCATATCCTTTCGCATATCTAATTCTATGCAAGCGTTCAACTTCTGTAGGAAAGCTGGGAAAAAGCGTCTCAAATGAAAAGTTTTTCCTCGAGCTCTACGTCGACAGATAATAATATTGTCTCTGCTTTAGAAGCTAGACAAGATGATCAAGTAAAAGTGAGTTCTTTGTAGATGCATAGAGTTGATTCAGTTTCCCTTTCTTTAACCCTCGATCCAGATTAGGGCTGGACGAGGGTTAAACAGTTATTTATCGTCCGAGTATTTCGATTTTATTAATTTCGTGCGTTTCAGTTTCTGTTGGAAAATTCTGTTTCGTCACTTTTACTTTTTAGATCGTTATATTATTAGAGCATTTGGTCGATCAAAATGGCCGACAGTGTTTAAATAATAATAAGTCTGTCTTCTTTCCGCAGAACTTGACCAGCGGTGAAACGGGTCCACCGCTTCTAAACGGAGAACGAGTACAAGGCATTGCACACGAAGTGACTCACGTGTGCCCTTACTCGGGGCCAGTGAGGGGAGTCCTAAGCGTTACGAACTACAAGCTTCATTTTCGAAGCATAGAACGCGAGAGGCCCTACATAGTCGAAGTGCCATTGGGCGTTGTTAGCAGGATCGAAAAGATTGGAGGCGCGTCCAGCAAACGTGAAAATTCCTACGGGATCGAAGTATTTTGCAAGGACATGCGGAATCTCAGATTCGCCCATAAACAAGAGAATCATTCCAGGAGGGACGTGTTCGAGAAGCTCCAACAGTATTCGTTCCCTTTGTCCCACGACTTGCCCGTCTTCGCGTTCGAGTATTCCGAAACTTTCCCTGAAAACGGCTGGAACGTTTACGAGCCCATAGCAGAATTGAAACGGATGGTGAAAAACATTAAAGAATATACTTGGACGAAATGGTTAGGAACTCTGTGGTTAAAATGATGATTATTTTCAGGGTGTGAACAACGACATGTGGAAAATATCAAAGATCAACGATACGTATACGGTGTGCGATAGTTATCCTGCAGTGTGGGCGGTGCCCGCAGCAGCGACAGACGAGGATTTGCAAGCGTCAGCTGCCTTCCGGAGTAGGGGAAGACTTCCGGTGCTCTCGTGGATTCACCCGGAGAGTCAAGCGACGATAACCCGTTGCGCTCAGCCGTTGGTAGGCGTGGGTAAGCGTAGCCGCGAAGACGAGAGGTACGTCCAACTGATAATGGACGCAAACGCACAAAGTCACAAACTTCTCATCATGGACGCTCGACCAATGCCCAACGCAATGGCGAACAAAGCAAAGGGCGGCGGTTACGAGAACGAGGATGATTATCAGAATGCTGAGCTCGTGTTCCTCGACATTCACAACATACACGTGATGAGGGAAAGTCTTAGGAAATTAAAAGGTAACGATAATTATAATACATATTTATTATACATACAGACACAAGGAATCATTTACATTTTTCTATTCTGTTCGAACGGTATTATTATAATATGTACATATTCGTAGTGTAAAGGGGGCAACGTTAAATCTGACTCTCTGCCGTTGCTCGAATTAAATTTCGCCCAACTGTTGTCGTTGTTGATCATCGTTAATACTATTTAACGCCTTATAGAATTATGCTTTCCGACGATCGAGGAAGCCAGATGGTTATCGGGAATAGAGTCTACTGTTTGGTTGAAGCATATTAAAAACGTGCTCGCTGGGGCTTTTCGGATAGTTGAGAAAGTTGAAAATCATAAGACCTCGGTGCTGGTGCATTGTTCGGATGGTTGGGACAGGACGTCGCAGGTAATTGCAAGATGATCGAATGCACTTTATTCGAGAAAACTGTACCTTTCAGTGTTTATGACTGTTTTGCAGCTCACAGCCCTCGCCATGTTAATGTTAGATCCGTATTACAGAACTATTAAAGGTTTCGAGGTTCTTATAGAAAAAGAATGGCTCAGTTTTGGTCACAAATTTCAACAGGTGCGTGGCTCGAACGTTCAATTATTATAATTTTCTACGCATCAATAACATAACTTGGACGACGTTGTTTCAGAGAATCGGCCATGGCGACGAACACCACAGCGACGCCGACAGGTCTCCAGTATTTTTACAATTTATAGACTGTGTCTGGCAGATCAGTCGTCAGTTTCCGAACGCATTCGAGTTCAACGAACATTTTTTAATTACTATCCTCGATCATCTGTACTCTTGCAGATTTGGCACATTTTTATTTAGCAGGTATTTTGCGTATTCCTTATTTTTTCCCGTTACAGTTCCGTTCGCGGGTTTTCCGTAACTATCGTGATCATCGGATTACTTATACAGCGAACGTGAGAGAGTACAGGAACAAGTGAAACAAAAAACTGTCTCGTTGTGGTCGTACACCAATAGTCAATTATCCCTTTATCAAAATCCGTTGTACTGGGCAGCCTCGCATTGTCAACACGTTTTAATGCCGATCGCTAGCATGAGGTACATCAAACCGTGGAAAAGTCTCTACTGTAGATGGAATCCTAGCATGCGACAACAGGTCCGTGAATAGTCTTAACTTATCGTTTTTAAAACTATCAACGAATCTTGAATCCCCGCGCAGAGCTATACGCGTAAATTCATAATTTTCGTCGTCACGTGTTCAAGGATCCTATTTACCAACGAACGAGGGAACTTCTAGTCTTTAAGGACCATCTCGAGAAGCAGCTCCAGGAAGGCCTTCGCGAACAGGCTTCCCGAGCAAATCGACTCTTGATATCACCGGCACCACCTAGGATACATTCACCGCTCCACTTATAGCACGGCTAAGATTCATTTCGTCATTTAACGGTCTGTAGTTGTAAACGTGCTCCGTGCTTCCTCTTCCCGCTTGAGTCAGTGTACGACACCGATCAAACTCGCAATCGCTGTGTACGGAACGCACGTTGTTAAAACAGACGTTTACGACTCTTGAGCAGTTGACTATGGATTGGTCCTCCTTCCCACGTGTTAAGGAATATAAAAAAAAACGCAAACTCCTGAAACAATTAATCGCATTAACCAATGGAAAAATGTTAGCGTCTCTCGAGTTGTTTAGAATGTATACGTCTTTATATATTACTCATTTCGTTTGTTTTGGAGCAAACATCATTTGCAACAACAGTATAGCCGGCAGTTCAGCGATCAAGGATAACATGAGACCAAAGATGAAAGTGGCGAGGCTTATTCCCAGAAATATGGCAGCCTGAGGAAAAAAAGAAAACAAATGAAACACGATTTTTAATACAGTTTAGAGTTATTTTGTCAACGTCGTTGCTACTTACGGTCGTTACTGGGTCGTGGAAGAGGGGGTAGCTGGTTGATAAGTAGACTGTGTATATAAGTAGAGGGTTTAGAAGGTAAATGGAGTACGACATCCTGCTGAGGGGTAACCATATTGGGTGCGACAAAACTTTATTTATTATACCTAGAATCATAAAGGGGAGATGCTTGAAGATCAAGACATTGTTACCGGGCTAAATCGTGAATCAGTTCACTTACCGCCGTTGTTCGTGGCACACGCTACCACCAGCCACGCGATGCCAAACGCCCAAATTACTCTGGACAGTGCCGCGTAAGCGACGCTCAAAAAGATGGGAAGGTTTCTATCTATTAGGCCGTACAGAACCGTAACATTGCACATTGTACCAATTGTCCAACCGATAGCAAAGGCTTTCTGAAAGAGACCATTTTTGATGGATGCATAACGTCATGAGTATGTAATGCTTCGTGCACATTGAATGAACCGAATATAGTAGACTGGTATACGTGAAATGTTCGTTTCAAAAACGCGTTACGTTTCTTGTACGAAGTGTTGTATCAATAACCGGATTATCGTTGCCAGTGCAAAATGAAAAATGGCATTTCGACGTGCACCAATCTAAAGCAGTGATTAACGACTGTAAATAATTGGTTTATTACGTTCGACAATTCTAGTTTGTAATCCCATTTTGCAAGAAGGTGAGCCGTGGCCATCCCTATCAAAAATGGTCCAATTCTGAGCAACGGTGGTATGTACAGCAGGCTCAGTGTTTGGAACTGTATGTCGATTCTGAAAGAAAGAACGACACTTGAACATTGTACAGAATCGGTAGGAAACTTTTTGGACACTCACAGGGGAACGTAGTCGATAGTGTACGCTACGTAACCGGTCGCCACGATCGACGCAATAAACGTAACGATGCCCGCTGTCAGGGCGAAGTTGAAGTGCCTGAAATCGTCGATCGAGATTAAACGATGATCGAGCAAGTTGATACGAGAAAAAGAAAAACGTTCGAATTCTAAACTCACGTGATCGATATTAGCAGCAACAATGTACCGAATATGAAGAATTGCGTGTCATCGGACAGATACCAGCTCCATGTAAGACACTGAAACAATTACTTCTCTCGAATGAACCGTTTCGTGTGACAATTATCAATAAAATTGTAAAATTATCCTTGGTCAAATGCACTTCGATTAGGGTCTCTGTGTTTTCGTATAATATTTCGGTTACGGAATTTAATTTTTTCAAAATGATGCTGCGAGCAGTCGGTTCCTACTACAAGACTTGCCCCTCTATATTTTTCATTTTTATACGTGCATATTTATAACGTTGGTTCTTTGTTCCGAGAAGGGCTGGCAAGTCGGCGTGAACGTTAAAAAACAATTTAGATACCACCGTTTTTGTACCGAGAATGCGTGTACGAAAATGAATTAAATACAATCAAGCAGTTTAAGAAGGAAAATGTTATTTCAGTAAAGTTACACATACCAGTTCGTTCCAAGAGTAGAAAGTGTTGATGTAAAGTAGATTCTTCCACCAGTTTGCTATGCATCTTTCGTGGGCCCTCTCGTACATGTAGATCAGAGAATTCTTCTCGAGCCAGGAGAAGGTTAGTATCGCAACTAGTATCGTGATCCCGTACGCGGGTGTAAGCCTTTTAATTAAATTTATAAATTTTATGTCATTTCATATTTTTTGTTTGACAGAAACGAACGTACGCGAATGAAGAATACCGTACCTAATGATCCTTCGGATAAGTATCATGAAGAAGTTGAATAACCTCACACCTACGGTCTCGCTCTGGGGCATCTGCTTCACCTGTCTCGTTTTCACGAATAAATGAGTCAGTAGAAATCCGCTTACGAAGAAGAAGGTGTCCACCGAGTACGATGCATTGCTGAAAGGTTGGGTTATCAAAATGGTACTTAGCAGAAACGCTGTCATCTTGTTACCTGTCAAAGGAGATGTAGCTCACTTGGGTTATCAAGAACCATGTAATTGTTTTGTCCACTACAGTGGTAGACACTGATCCAGACTGTTCATAGATATGATTTGTTTTAGTGTCGTCTTACCTACGCTGAAGGCGCCATAAATGAGGACGTGCACTATGAGGATCCATACCACTCCGATGACTTTCATCCCGTGGAGCATGTTCAGGGTACCTGGTTGCGGATTCAATCTGAATATTTCCTTTATATTCGTGTAGGCTGAGAAACACAACAGAATTCTGCCCGCCAGGCTTTCATCTTCAACCAGCGGCGGGACGGGTTTCTCGCTTTTCGTTGGCTCTGGTTTCTTTTCCGTGTCTTTCTTCGGTACTGTTCAAAGAATATCTGGTTCATCGCGTGTCGAGAAAGAACCCTGCCAGCATTCTTATGGGGAAACGGCCTATGGTCAAAACCTTGTCCAATTTTAATATGTGATCAGTTCAAACGCCGTTTCCCAACGAGAATTCTGCGGTGTCCTTTGACTCAATTGTTAATTGTTTTATCGTACGTTGCTCGAAATAACGACAGTCAAGATAACAATGGGATTTTTTAACTTTGGATTATTTTGAGCAGTGTACAATGGCGACTAACCAGTGATGTTGTTGTTCTCGTAAGGAACGAACTTTTTCTTTTTCTCCAAGTAATCCTGATGCACCGTCAGATCATAGTACGTGCCCGCTACCACCATACCTACCGACGACGCCAAGACCAAGCTGCAAGCAAAGGTTCCGAACGTGTCAACATTTCAAGAGAATCGCTTACGCAACGTAGGCGACACTTTTTGCCGTTTCCGTGGCGTTTTCGAAACGAAACTGTTTGAAGAGCAAGTCAAAGAGCCGAGCGTGATTTTCATTTTTAAATAAGACCGGACGAGCGAGGAAAAATACCGATGAGAAAGATGTACATTTTCGACCGTGAATCTTTAACATTGCAGCGATTACCATTGTCCATTACGTACATGATTACGATCGTCAGTCCATCGGCACTCCATTGGTCGTACTTCTTGTAATCGATCACCTTGATCAGGTCGAACTCCACGTTGTAAATTCGCGGGAACAGGAGAGTCCTGTCTTGCAAGACCTTCTCTATCATTGTAGTTAACTGGTCCTCGGTACAGGACGACGGCAGACAGAGCCCAAGCGATATGACTTTCTAAAAATCCATCGTTCCGTTTAATCGACTGTTTATTTGTTTAATCGTTCGAGTGTACTTCCGTGCAAACTAACTATTCTACGTAAATCTCATTAATGGACAAACACGCGCGAGAACGATAACCTGTTCTTCTATATGCTGATGGATGCTGGGGTTTACCAGCTCTTTGGTCCATAGAAGCATGATGCAATGTTATTTTTTAATTACCATACTGTTGACCTAGCCGAGTATCCCGTGGATCTAACGTTTCCGCTACACGTATCGATCATTCATCGTTCCACGATTATTCTTTGGTTTGTAAACGCCGTTGTAACGATAGTCATTCTAAGACCGAAATTGTAACAGGATTTTTCTAAAGAACGATCGAGCTATGAGTCATGGGGGGGTCTCTGACGCTTTCTATCCTCGCGACAGCAAACTGTTTAACGTTGAATTTCTAGGTCAAGGCCAGTGGACGTTTTACGACGCTGCCCTTACTTCTGCGGTTTCTTGGAGGACGATGTCTTGCATGTAAGACTCCTCGTGGATCTGTACGACGTAGAAGTTTACGGTGAAGGGCGGAACCTCATAGCTTATATCGTTGTACCGTGTCCCGTTGTCCAGAAGACTCCATTTCAATTGCGGGACATTCCTGTCGTTGATCCGGTTGCATTCCAGTCGATCGCCCAACCAATAGTTGTTCCCACTGATGTACCCGGTGCCTGGCACGCCATTCGAATCCAATACTTTGGAAACAGAAACATCCCTTATGACATCCGACGAGGATAATTAGAGCCAGCTAAATTAGGGGCTTAGAGACTCTCTTCTCGAATATTCGGACATTTTAGCTGATTAAAAATCTGTGAATTTGTGATTTCCCTACAGCTTCTTAAAGCATCGGATGTTTAACGTTGCAAAATTCCTGTTAGGAGGAGGGAGTTAGGTCTAGGACGTCCACTAAAAAATACACGATATTTTGCTCACACTCTCCATCACAGAAGCATTTGTAATGAAAGTTAAAATTCTCGTTGGTCCATGTAAATTATTGATACAGAGATATAATTAAAAAAAGAGACACGTGTCAGCTGTAAATAAATGATTACGTTTGTAGCTTCTATAATGTACCCAAAATGGCATCCAGAGTCAATTAATCCAAAAAAAAAAGACGAAAATAAATGTCCCATAAATATTTAACGATTTCTGTACGCTTGCTTCTGTGTGACCAGTTGACGACTTTAATTCATTTTGGTCGAGCCACGCATAAAATTACGGTGTATTTCATTTTTATGAAAATTAAGAGTTTGGTTATGGAAAGGGTAATCGAATCGTGACCGAAGATTTAGCCATCGTCATGGCTGCTCCATCGAAACTAGTTTCTTGTGTAACACGGAAGAAAGCCAACGGCCCACGCCGGGGTGGCTGGCTCTACGAAAAATCTTCGACGCAATCGTCGCGTAATCGCATTTACCATACAACAGAGAGAGGCTCTTGTTGCACAAGACGCGCCCGGCTGTATTAACGGAGACAAATTTTAAGCTAAATTCACACTATTCCATTAACCAAATTTCCAATCAAATATTTCTGTTGAAAATCTGACAAAATTAATTGCGTTACGCGCGTGGCATACTGATATTCATTATCCCCACTCCTCTGGTTACTACCCTGAGTCGATTTCCGGTAGTTAACGTTTCCCTCGTCTCGTGGAGGCATCGTTTACAAGCGGAAAAGGAAAGTGCAAGTACTCTCGTTCTCGAGCACATGATTTCTTAATTACCTCGTAGATAATGGTATTCTTTTCGCTTTCGAACATTATCAATCTTGTTAGAGTCACCTCTTCACGATCATAACCTCAAATCATTTCCAGAGTTATTTAGATGCAAAGGGACCACAAGCTTTTATTGGAAGGTAAATAGAAAAAAAGTAGTTGCATATAGTATCAATCAAATTTAAGTCTAGCATGGTCACAGAAGTAATTCTGTAATTAACAGAGTGCAAGCGTTCACACTCTAGCCTGAACTTACATTTACGCGCCATTATGACAACGGTTACGTGAAATAACAAATAGCTGATTCAGCTTTGTTTCTCGCATTAGTCTCTAGAGTTGAACACGAAAGGACATTCGACTTCCAGTCGTTCGCGAGTTTAAATTCGATCGTTGCGCAACAGTGTCATCGCGAAACTGAGATGGACAAATATCTTATATAAATATACGTTCCTAATAACGACTAAAAAGTAACCTTGCTCGTATTCGTTTCTCGCTAAATAAAACGAGCAAATCAAAATTTTCAACCGTTCGATCGAAATGAATTCTTTGGATCGGTTGATTTCGATGACCTTGAAGTACCTTATCAAGGTGAATATTCCTAATAACTGTTCCCCTATACATATGTATGGGAAAAAGTTGCTCAGAACGATGACCTTGACAGTACACTTGAAGATCATACAAAACGACGAAACAATTTTTTTAACGATACGAATATTTCTGTCGATGAGTGTCGCCCGTGTGAATATTTCCCGAGAACAAAAGTATTCTAAATGTGTGCCAGTTTGGTAGAACGCCACTTTAGGTAAATGTTATCCCGCTGGACATGTATCGTCCATGTTTGTTATACATACGTCGCGTGTTTATGTTTAAATATTAAACAATGGTGAAACATTTTGTTGTAAGTTATCGCTTTCAACCAACTCGTGTATCCTCTTTTACAACGTAAAGATCCTATCATAACCTAATTCGGCTAATTCCCCTTATCGAATACCATTAATAATCTAATCGATAAATGGGCATTTATCTCGGGAAACATCGAATTCCAAATGAGTATGAATGAACCTTTACCCAGCAACGTAAATGTTCTTAGACGCGGACGGGAAACGAGCCGGTTACGAAACACGGCAGCGTCGCGCGTATCGTTTCGATCGTTGGAATTCGCCCGGTAGTAAAGCGCGGTCTTAAATTTCATTTTTTTTCCGGGTGGATAAAGAAAGCAGAGAAAACATCGTTTCTACAAACTTTTCATGCCCCACATTATTTGGTTCTCGATGGCCCGATCCACGTCTAGCAATTCCCGTTGACACCTGGTCTCGTTGATGAGATCCACGTTGCCGATGATCGCGTACAAGGGTATCGTTTCCCTCATCGTAGCTCGGTTGGGATCGATCGCGTGGATCGACGCGCAGAACGCCACCAACGGAACGATCTTCTTCCAGACCATGGTCGTGTACGTGATACTTTAGTTTTGTTCACTGCTAATTACGATGTGCATTACACGTGCGATACGAGTGTGTCGCGTGTACCGAGCACGATGATCGTTAACGTTTCCAAGCGTGTCGGGGATCTATTGCACTGGCGGTGGGTTTCGGGTTCTGCGCGGGAAACAGGATCGAGAAAGAAATCGACCGGACGCGTCCACGTACGAAACGTTACTCGTGGGTATCGACGATCACCTGGACGCGATCCCGAACAGACAGAACGAATCGACGGAGGGAGCAGACAATTTATTTGCATGAAGCACCACGACCAGGGAGAAACAACGATCGGCAACGAACTGGCCCAACAAGGAGGAGCAATCGCAGAATCCGAATGGAAAGCAACACGGGTACACCTCGTCCTCGTCGTCGGCGTACGTTTGTCTTTGAAGTCGCGCCGCGACACCCCACCACGCCTTCGCCTGCCGCCATTTTTGTTTCCCGCGCGACGCACAGCGTAGGCGTTTCGGGACCAACTGCCAAACTAATTTATCTTCGACCCACGACCTCTTAGAAATTTTGTTTGACAATATTTTTCCCGGAGGAAATTTATTTTATCGTATATACTCTTCTACGTTTGATTTTTAACCTTCCTTTTTTTTTAACCTTTGAGGTTAGACGTTCCGAGTCGTCAGATTTATCGCGCAGTTTCCAAGTGTAATCGATATGTACAATCAATCGATTGTTATGTACAGTAAGTTTTTTAACTTTTTCATATTCATAGGTAATGTGTATATTTAGTCGATAGTTATGTATATTAGGTTTTTCAACTTGGTCGTATTGATGAATAATACGTATAACCGGTCGATTGTTATGTATAGGAGATTTTTCATATCTGGACGTATTCATTAGAGTCCAATCTACAATGTGCTTTATTATCATTCGTTCTTTATCTCGGAAATTAACATATTACGGACAATTATTGAGACATGTGTTTACAAAAACGAATATTAAACTTCAACGTTTGAATGAGACTTATTCTTTGAATGTTTCTCTTGAATGCGATGTAACTTGCTATTCTAGGATCGTTGATTGCGAATTCAGGGTTGAAAATAGCAAATGTAAAGCGAGTGTAAAGTCAAATACCAAATTTTAATAAGATACAGGGCGTTCGGCCAACACTGGGAAAAATTTTAATGGGGTTTTCTAGAGGCCAAACTAAGACGAAAATCAAGAATACCAATTTGTTGATGGAGGCTTTGTTAAAAAGTTATTAATGGTTAATTTGTTCACCTTCCGGAATTTTTTTCTCGAAAATGCGCAGGATTTCGGGGGTATGTCTATTCACCAAAAATGTTTGTAATTGACCCCCGCGACCGACAGTAATTTTTCCAGTACGATTTGAAATTTTTTTTTCTATCGAAAAATTTCACACCTTCTCGAATTTTTTTCTAGAAAATGGGTAGGATTTCGGGGGTATGTCTATTCACCAAAAATGATTGTAATTAACCCCCGCGACCGACAATAATTTTTCCAGAACGATTTGAAATTTTTTTTTCCATCGAAAAATTTCACACCTTTTCGAATTTTTTTCTAGAAAATGGGTAGGATTTCGGGGGTATGTTTATTCACCAAAAATGATTGTAATTAACCCCTGTAGCCGATAATAATTTTTCCAGTACGATTTGAAATTTTTTTTTCTATCGAAAAATTTCACACCTTCTCGAATTTTTTTCTAGAAAATGGGTAGGATTTCGGGGGTATGTCTATTCACCAAAAATGATTGTAATTGACCCCCGCGACCGACAATAATTTTTCCAAAACGATTTGAAATTTTTGAATTTAATTGTTAATAACTTTTTAACGAAGCCTCCATCAATAAGTTTGGCTTCTAGAATCTCTCATTAAAATTTGTCTAGAGGTGGTACAACACTCTGTATACCGGGAAAAAATAGTTTTATATATTTTTTTGGAATTCGGTGCATTCATTCAGCGACCCAAGACCCCCAGAAACTATTTAATATTTATACGATCTACAAGGATTAAATAGTTTCTATCATATGTCAGTAATAAATCTGAAACCTTGTGTCCACGAGGTCGGAATCGTATAATTTACTGTTGACCTCGTGTGGCCGGTAGAGCAATAAAATGGCAATCAACCCGATAGCACTGTAAATACGTTCTGACTAATAAAACCAAGAGGCGTGAGAGCGAGTGAGACGGCTTACTTAACACTTCTGAGACAATGTAGCCTGTTAAGTAAATCAAAGACACTCGTAACCGATTCGCCATTACGACATCCAGTCGAACGTGCGACTTCGCGACGGGGTTGCTTATCATAACATTGTAAACGCCATAAATAATAACGCAAAGACGGGAAAAGCAAAGCTTGAAGTTTGGTAGTGAAAGGGTTCGGTGGAATTTCGTAAAAACGACAAGACAGATCGCAGAGGAGTAAAATGAATGGGTAAATAGGTGGTTTTGAAACGAGGACCTTGTAAATAAGGTTGAAGCTGGTCCAGGAATCCGTCTCTGCATATTTAGCTAGCCAGAGCGTGGGGGAAAAAGCGAAACGATGTAGTCGAATTCGGTAGTGCAGTAAAAAGAACCGAAAACATGAATGTTTAAAACGTTGTGCAAGCCACGACGCAACGTTCAAAGAAGGAAATCACCGAGGGTCGAGAAAACACGTCGGGAAGGATATAAAATGCACTTTGGAGGTTAGAATGCGTACAGGAATTTAAAAAGCAAAAGATAAACTCTCATCGTTTTGTACTTTCTGATCTTAACAAATTTTTATATTAAAATTCTACAGCGGCTGCTTTTCCAAAGGTAAATTTGATCGCATATCTTCGTTTCTAAATCTCCCGTGCTGGAATTCCATGGAGCAACGCTGAATATTCCACCTTTGTCGCTTAACCCGTGAAATTTTGACATCATGGCACTCCTCTTTGCGTCAAAGAATTACTTGTACTCATAAATACGCATAGATCACTCGACAAAGGATGCTTTTGACCTTGTTTTTTAACCTTATTGCTCATTCCTTGGCTCGTTTTTTTCACTCTGGAACTCGCTATTATACCTTCTCTACGGATTAGATGTCTGACACGCGGTATGGTTACTTTGGCTATTTTGCTTCCGCTCGTATTCGTTTTCTCGTTCCTTAATTAACACGAATAACCTGTACGAGATCCATTAACCCCTCTTGCCTTGCGATTTAATCTGCGATCGTGCTCGTATCCAGGGGTGCAAAGCTCGCTAAAGGAACTAAAAAGTTCCTAGCGACTGTCGAGGAACGTGTCGTTAATTGGGACGTTTATCTAACGATTATTATTATTATTTCGTCGCGGTTGCGTGTCGGGGAAGTTTTAAATGGCGTTGCACAGGACTTTACCCAATCGCGCCAATAAAATAAGAATGCTAATTGCGCGAAGCGGGAACGTAAAATTGCTTAGGTGCACGAGTATTATACGGGGCGGCGTGAAGTGAAAGTTTTCGACGAAAGATGGCGGGAAGAGATCGCGGGAAGAAGGACGGCCGCGTAAGCTCGTCGAAGGAAAGATCTTTATCGCGATTATAACACGACGATCGATCACTTTGCTCATCGGGGACCGGGACACGTGCAGTCTCCGACCAAGTGAAAACGAGAGCGACTATTTTGTAACACTTTGCATAATAGGCTCGTCTAGATGGCACGGAAAAATACCAATTCTTCGCTCCTTGCCCATTGTGTCTCAATTTCGTCATAATCGTGTGCACCTGTGAATGAACACGCCCGATGGAAAAAGCATGCTTGCGGTCATTTCAAGACACGACGTGTAGGATGAATTATTTCGAGGTTAGGTTTCATCGAGGGATTGTTCGATCGAACAGATCGAGAGACCTTGTGCTTGAAATTGGAAATAAAGTAAAGACATTCATACTTGAACACCCTAATATCCTAATTGTCTTCCATCCTCTCCATCATTTCCTTTAGTTGAATAAGAGTAAGGAAACGAGGTTAGGATTCGATTAGAAATGACGTCATTTCCCGGTAACCGCCAAAACTTATGCCACCTCTTCGGGTGTCATGTTCTCCTAATACAAAAGTTCGAAAATCGGCGATAGTTTTGAAAATTGACGTCGTTTCCAAGAATCCACATTTTTGGAGGGCTCGGGAAAAGGGTGAAATGAGAGGAAAGTGAATCAAACAGTTTCTTTAACTTTTCTACAAGTTTATTTTTATTAAAACACTGATATCTGTTCTGTAAAGTGTTACATGTTGTTTCCATGGATTCCAATGATAGTTTAAACAAAGAGAAGTATCAATAGTAATAATGATAGCTTCTGTAGAAGTGTACCAGCTGTAGTAAAAGTTGCAGATCAGGTTAAACGACAAATGATGATGTCGTTTCCCTAGAATCATAGTAAATCGACAACTATCGTAACGTTTGGTTAAAATGTGAAAAGATAGGAGTCCAAAATGTTTCAAAACACTTTGCATAATAGGCTCGTCTAGATGGCACGGAAAAATACCAGTTCTTCGCTACCTGCCCATTGTGTCTCAATTTCGTCATAATCGTATGCACCTGTGAATGAACACGCCCGATGGAAAAAGCATGCTTGCGGTCATTTCAAGACACGACGTGTAGGATGAATTATGGGGATAAATCTTGATTTTCTTTCGTTGTTACGGGGATCGAGGTTAGGTTTCATCGAGGGATTGTTCGATCGAACAGATCGAGAGACCTTGTGCTTGAAATTGGAAATAAAGTAAAGACATTCATACTTGAACACCCTAATTGTCTTCCATCCTCTCAATCATTTCCTTTAGTTATATAATTCTTTAGTTGAATAAGAGTAAGGAAACGAGGTTAGGATTCGATTAGAAATGACGTCATTTCCCGGTAACCGCCAAAACTTATGCCACCTCTTCGGGTGGTATGTTTTCCTAATACAAAAGTTCGAAAATCGGCGATAGTTTTGAAAATTGACGTCATTTCCAAAAGTCCACACTTTTGGAAGGCTCGGGAAAAGGATAAAATGAGGGGAAAGTGAATCAAACAGTTTGTTTAACTTTTCTACAAGTTTATTTTTATTAAAACATACTGATATCTGTTCCGTAAAGTGTTACATGTTGTTTCCATAGATTCCAATGATAGTTTAAACAAAGAGAAGTATCAATAGTAATAATAATAGCTTCTGTAGAAGTGTACCAGCTGTAGTAAAAGTTGCAGATCAGGTTAAACGACAAATGATGATGTCGTTTCCCTAGAATCATAGTAAATCGACAACTATCGTAACGTTTGGTTAAAATGTGAAAAGATAGGAGTCGAAAATGTTTCAAAACACTTTGCATAATAAGGAAACTGATTGACAGGACATTTTAGGTAATCAGGCCAGTGCATTGGCGTTCTGTGAATGTTCTTAAGTCGAGCCTTTAACGAATGAGTCGAAATTA